TCGGTACGGTAACACGCGTCTGTTTTGACGGTCGAGTGAATAAAAATGATAACTGACAATAAAAGAGCGTGAAATCGTGAAAAACATTTTTTTGAAACTTCATAAACAAGGGGTTAAAGAATGGCTGTCCGGTATATTTTTAAGGTAACAATCAACAGTGAAGCGTCCATTAAGACGATCGACGTAGGCGAAAGCTTAAGATCTGCTATCGGTCGACGATCGTGAGAACGATAAAAATCTCTGATAGATGGATCAACGGTGTTTACGCGTTATCAAGGGTACAAAACGATTTCTTAGAGATTTCCAATTACGATCCAAGCGGTGTAAATTCGCGGAACGCGTCATTCCACGGGCCCGAGCGTGACTCTTTTGTTCTCTCGGCACGATAACGATAGGGATTACGAGGCTCGAGAATTAGAGGATCGATAATCGTGCACGATAATGAACGTATTTGAAAACAACGAGCATTTTTTTTTTGTTGATACGTCGAATCTGATGGATACGAGTCTTGCGAAACGGAGGAAGTGAAGTTAATCTTTTCCTTCGACAAGTACCAATGTAACATAAATGGAACAACCTATCAATGAATTTTATGTACACTAAGGATTAATAATTTTTACGAACTTACAAGATGCACATTTTACTATTTTTTTACGTGGATAGATATACATATACTTGAACTTCAAGATGTGTTTCTTACACACATTTCTTCACATACTCCCAAATAACAATTAGGTGTAACAATTTATATTCAATGTCTATTTATGTATCCTCATAGTTTTTACTTGAACCATACATTTGTGATAACTTTCCCTTAATTTTACAATAAAATTCGTAATTTACCACGTAATTTGATCAAATAAAGTTAACAGCCTTCTGTGAACAAATTTATGAGTCACTGTAGATGAAATTGACGAAGGGCGCTGCAGAAAGCAGACTTTCGATTTCCTCGGTAAATGAACACTGAATGTGACAGAGAATAATGGATTATTTCTTCACTACATCGAGTACATATTCCCTATTCTCTGCAAGTTTCCCAAAAACTGTCGCACACATGTTCACGGTTTTATTACTCGAAAACGACCGAACGTTCGCAGTGATCTAATAAATCGGTCGGAAAAATACTAGAAGCCTTGTGCGTGCGTAAAATGTGGCCGAGAGAGCTGACTGTTTCCGAGTGCCTCGTGACTATCAGCTTATCGGGATGCGTGTGAGTCAGTCATTAATAAAAGGGTCGCTCACGGTGAAAAGCGTGGAGCAGGCGAAGGGCTCGGTATCGATCAAATAACCATAGGCCCTACCATGCGGAAAGACACGAGCTCGAAAGGGATCCTCTCGGTTCCTAACGAAAACGCAGTTAATCATTCTTTCAAGAAAAAAACAAAATGGCGAACTCATCCGAAATAATAATTCACGTTCGTCTCTCCTCGATGGAAGGTGTTTTACTCTTTTTTTTTTTTTTCTTAAATCCGAATCGTCGTTTCAACTCACGATTTCGATTCGATCGTTCGATACGCGTGCAACACGTATTTATTCCGCAAGATAATGCACGTGCGTATATACATTACGTGTCCTCGACAACACGCACTCTCTCCCTCTCTCTCTTGCGCGCGCGCGTCCAGGAAGTTTCGTATCGAATTTATCAAAAACACAACGGGAAGCCTGTAGGATGATAGGCGAGAGAGAAAGTGTACACGAGCATAGCTAGTTTCTCTGGTACAAAAATTCTTGTCTGTAATCCGAGCAGCGTGCTTCGAAATTTTGAACCGTGGATACCTTTACACACGGAGATATATTATGATGATCGACTATAGGGAATTAGAGGCTCTCGAAATACTGGTTACCTCATCCGAGTAGGCGATTCTACAATTATTTCGGTGTATACTCTCGACAGTAGACACGGACTAACGACAGAAAAATTGTACGGGGAAAAATTAATCAAAAATGTCGTATACATTTTTCCTTTGTAACTCCTCTTTAACCCTGGATCACTAAAGTATCGTAAAAATTATAACTTGAAGTTCAAATATCACGTGTTTTCTTTCACTCGTAATTTTTTACGAAAAATTCGTAATAATGCGAGTCACGAGATAGTTTAGTGATCTAGGGTTAAGGAAATTTTCGAAAATTGCTCTTGTATTTTTTTAATTTTCTCAAAACTGATCCTTTGTTGGAAAAATCTGAAGTGTCAGACGTTTGACACAAGTGTCGAATATCTCGTTTATCCATTATATAGGGTAACCTGCAACTAGAAGTTACAGCCAAAGATCGATGTTTCACTATCTACAAAATTTACTTTAAACGCACACCACATTCACTTTTCCATAGTTCCACAAACATGAAAAGATTCTCGTCGAAATATTCACTCCCAAACTTCCGAAAGCATACTACAAAAACTCCCAGTATAGATCCTTTCAAAACCCATGTCGCCTACAAAATCGATCTCAGTTACGACATACCGATCGCGACACCCTGGGTATAATTAATTCTAAACTGTCAGAAAGATCCATTTCTGCGAAGCGACACACAGAATATCATCTGCTTTTCCGCTCGTTGCGTGACCACCCTGTATAACGTTAAAAGCGTCTGCGCGAGGATCAACGAAAGTCGACACTGGGCCCTGGGCTCGAGGAAATTTTATGCACCGTGAACGTTCTGACCTGCGGGTCCCTCTGTCCTCAGTTTTTATACATTGTTGCGGAGTCAGATCGGTGAAAAAGGAACGGTCTTACCCGGGTGCGTTTTGAAGCCAGCCCCGCAACAGTGTGGTGTGTACAGGCCACGCGGCCAAATACATAGAGCACACACGTGTCCCGTGTACGTGTGCTGCACAGCCCGATTTATTGATCTCACACGCGTTGCACGCAATACACACCACGATGCGAGCGAGCGAGTCCTGTGTGTCGCAACGGCCCACGAAACTTGTAACAAATTCCGTCTAGAATCCAGCGTGACATGTGCATACAGTAGGGCGGAGGGCATTAGCATATCATCGAAGGGAAATCGAATTCGAGCGGCGAATCGAATTTGGTTTTTCACGGTGGAATCGTCCACAGATCATATTTTGTATTTCAAATGCACGCGCGCGATCGTATAAACATTTATGGATCTCGATGGACAGAGATGAATTTATCTGTTGTGCGCAAGATGTTAACCCGAGATTACTAAAATATTGTGTGACTTACGTTATTACTAATCATTCGTAAAAATTACGACTGAAGGAAAACACGCAATGTTTTAGAGAAAATTTTTATTTTATTGAGATAGTAATTATTAGAAGAAAAATTAAGACAGTAATGATTCGGCACAACGTGCACACACATTGATGATATTGACGGCAACATGACGATTTCTGAGAATCGCGAATTCGAGGTCGTGATTTTTACGATAGTTTAGTAATCTAGGGTTAAGAGGAAGATTTTAATTTAACCCTCCCCGTAGGCGATATGTGTCAATTGTAGACTAATTGCACATTTGCACTATTTATAAACATTCTTTTGTTCCCGGAAAATTATTGACAATAAAGTAACTCTGGGGATGGAGTTGTCCTAAAACTCGTAAGACAGCTGATAAATTGTGATTAAATTCAATATGGATGCAAGTTGTTTGAAATTCACAAAAACCTAGTGAATTAAACAGAAACTGGTCACAGAAAATTATATTTCATTAGGTGAGTCCTCTGAGAATAGATTAACGGAAGATTATTCCAAGCCGTTTCGTGAATTCTTAGCGAAGTAACGTTACCGTACAAGGGAATATAAATTGTCAAATAAATTAACGTAACATGACCCTGAGAACGAAAGTACGCAAAAGTAAAATACATTCCCACAGAGAGACCACTAAAAATCCATCTCGATTTTCATAGCACTATTTCCAAAGCACCGTTACTCCTCGGGATCCCGATTAATCGGTGAACATCGGATCGATTAATACAAATTGGTATAGTGTCCGGTTGGGAATCCGATCGCGGAAAGATAATTGAGAGGAATCGACGGTAATAATAGCCTGGGAAGCACAACGGTTTCAGGTGACAAACAATTTCGAATCATGATCGTTCGAGCGGATCGCGAATGAAAAGACGGTGGATACATAGCAACACATGTCTGCGAAGCGATGGATCGGTACGAAGGAAATCTAAAACCGACGTGAACCACCAAAAAACATGAATCTTGGATATCGTGGATTATGAGACGACAAAAATTTTCGCGTGTAATCCCGACCGATCGTCGCATTTTTGGTAATGGCCGCTCCGATAATACGATTAGGAACGAGGAAATCAAATGACGACGACGACGACGACGACAGGGGATGTATCACGATTATCGCGTGTCTCCTCTTCGATCAAGGGCCCCCACGTAATTTCTATAAAAGCTACGCAGGCGGCGAGTGCGGGGCACGACGTAGTTAACGACGTGGGCCGTGGTCGATCGTGCAATTAACTTTAACGAACGGCGGCCTTGCGATTAAACTTAATTAGTATCGCGGTAATAACTCGTTAATAATCAGAGCCGTGTAACGGCGCGGCGGCGGTTACGCGGCTCCCGTTCCTCGTACACGTGCACACACGGTGCGTACAAAAACGGAATATAAGAGAGACACGAATTTTTCAGGCATGCATGTGTGTGTTTTTCGTTTTATATTTACGTGACGACGTGTGACCAGGAGTATATAATCAGGACGACGACGCCTCTGTGACGCTGTAGGAGAGTCCCTTTGTTTATCGATGAGACGTCTATCATTACAGGAGGAACCAGCACATTCACCAAATTAAAGAATTAAAAAAAAAAGTAGTAGAATTCAACGCAAGATTCACGAATTCCATTCACTTAGGCCAGTGTCCAAATAGCACCACATTTCCTCCCTCTTGCAGACCGCACAACGGTGTTTGTGTGTGTGTGTGTGTGTGCTTGAATATAATCGTCTCGCCCCCGATGGATCACAGAATCGCAATAACACCAGAGATCTGTCGGCTGTGGCGATTCTCTTTGTCACTTACATACCAGCCAGGTATCATTGGTATATCCGTTGAAATGACGAATCTCTACTCGTTGAAGAAAAACCGGTGTGCAGACGTGTGTATACTAGCAGTAAACAAAGAGAACGTCCGTAGTTGCGTAGCGAACCGGCACTGACTGAATGATCGGCTTGACTGAATGGTGGTTGGCAAGAGGAGACGCGGCCGCGCGGTCTCTCTCTTGGTCTCTGAAACGAGTAGGCACCGCGTTTTCCCTTCTTCTTGCTCGTTCCGTATGTAATTTCCGTTTCTTGATTTTTTTTTTTTTTTTTTTCGCAGGATTATTCCTCACACTCGAGTCCAGGTTCGTCGTGTCGGGCACACAAATGCCACTGTCCTTCCGGTAAGTGGTGGAGGGTTTTTGGCCTGTCAGCCCAGCTGCCCCCGACGATATAAACAACAAACGAGACACCAGACGCGCGCGTGCGACGAGGCAGCGAGGAGATCGAGATGTACACACGGAATAAAAGAGAAGAGTCGCGTATATACCCGAGAAGCGAAAACCACGCGGTACGCGCTTCGATATGACCCGTAGGACCGACCCGTATACAACACACTCGTCTGTCAAGAGAGTGCTCCTGTTGGCCGAGCAAACGTAAAAACGTGTGCACTACCGTTTCTCTCTCCCGGCTGCGACGACGACGACGACGACGACGACGACGAGCAAGGCGGTTAGAAACATCGAGGCACGAACCTGATTGCGGGGCGGCGCACCGAATTATGGGCCGCTATGCGCTTTCGGCGGCCTCTCGCTCCCTCTCCACCTTCTACCGTTCTCCTGCTCGCACCTACTGTTCTCTCGGTCGCTCAGCCGACTATGCTAGAACCCTCCCCTCCATACCCAACCGGCGGTACCGCTTGTTCACTGTCGACTACCCCCACCAAGGCGACACATCGCTCCTCTGTGTCTGACGCGCTGGCTCACCCGCCCCACCACAAGGTACTAGAATGCTCCGTACCTTCCCCTCCCGGGGCACGTTGCTGGCGCGGGCAGTAGCATTGCCCCTTACGCGCCTAACTCTAAAACCTATCTCACTCGCGCGAGAGCAAGTTGCCACCTTACGGGCGTAAGCTGCGGGGATGATGATGGACGTGCCTCTCTCGGCTTTGGCTTGCCAACGGCGCGCGCTTCGTGTAGCACTACCGTGCGATCTCGGCGCCTATATCACAGATACGCTCTCGGCGCGGCACAGACGACGCGCCGCGCCGTGTGGCATCCGCCTCGCTCGGTACACGCGTCCTTGGTGATGCTTGCGACCGAGAGCTCTAGCTTCCGACCGGAAGCTATGCGACACCCCTCACGGACGATGTCTGGGGATCTTCCGAGAAATTGATCGATCACGGGATGCTGCGGAATCGCGACAGGTACACGGGGAACCTGATAGGGTGGCTTTTCAGGGAGTGAGTGGGGTCTTCTGTAAGAGTTAGTGGTTGAAAAGACCGGAATTTTTTTATATGTTTCATGAAGGCTTTGAGAGTGTTAGGTACGTTGGAAGATTTGAAAAGTATTTTTCTAAAATATGTTGCAGTCTACATATGTTGCCATTTTGTTAATTTAGCCCTGGATTATGTAGTAAGCTATCGCAGAAATTACGACCCCGAATTCGTGATTATCAGAAATAGGCAGGTTACCGTCAGTGTTGTCAACGTGTGTGCAGATTGTTCTGAATAATTATTGTCATGATTTTCCATTATTTTTAAGTCTGGCTATCATAAATATTTATAACGCAGATTTTTGTCTCAATAAAAATAATATTTTACAAGAATACTACGTGTTTTCTTTTTAGTCGTAACTTTCACGAATGAATAGTAATAACGTAAGTCACAGGATACAGTAAATTGTCGATAAATGTTCGAAGGCCTCTCGGCACCGAACATTAAATACATACTTCATAAATTAATGATCATATGCGACTGAAACAAATATCATTTGCTTCAGAATTTTGAAGCTCTATCCCCACTGTGCGAAATCTCATTATAAAGTCAGCGTTACACCTGGGGACTTCTTCTTGTCAGGGCCGAGGAGCCTTAGAACACTCATCGATGACTTAGTGTAGTTTTGAAATCCAGGATTAGAATAGTTTGGTCTTCCGTCAGACTTCGCCCCAAAATTGACAGGATTTTCTTGCGTTCAATCATTTTCACACTTCTGTGTATGTGATAACGATGCGTCTTGGTATGCACGAGGAAATTACGTCCTTTAGAATGTAGCTACAATTCGCAAAATATGCGTTCTCATTCTAGCCACCAGCCTGCAGCACCGTATAGCGTACTATTCTCTTAGTATTTCCAGTTATTTATTCGACGATCAATAGCGTTCGATTGAAACGACCCATTCGTTCAACTTCAGGTATCTTCGTCAAAGGTGGTGGATAGTGTCTCTGAATGTTATCACTGAAGGTCGGTAAAGAAAGCTCCAAGAGACGTTGCGCGAGAGGAGCCGCAAGAAGGGTGACTAACCCTTACGTAGAAAACTGCAGACTGTTTTCTGTGCTCTTTTGGAGTTCTTTCGTGCCACTTCTTTCACCCTCCGTCAGATGTCAGGCGCGGCGACGTGCCACGGGGGATGATATACATATCAACCCCCCCCCCTGGACCGGGTGCATGCCTTCCGATCACTTCCACCCAGAGTAGAAATTTTCGAGTCGCATTAAGCCATGATTATTTACATATGAACAGACAGCAAAGCACATGGTCCATTTAACTAATTACTACATCGGGCAATTAGACCAGTGTCTGGCGGCTCAGACTACGGTATTTAATGTAAGCTGATATCGCGTAATTAAATGAAAGCACTGGTCTTAATGACTGCCTCGCGGTAAACAGCTTAACGACCGCCATACGAGTATCATCGTTTCGAAACTACGCTCAACGAAATTCCACCGATAACGCTCCGTCGCGTGATAAACAAATCGATTCCTCTGTAATGTCATTTATCTTAACATAATATCGCGCTTAGAGCCGAGGTGTTGTATCAAGAATAAAATCGCGTTAGAACCCATCAAAGGATTGCCAACGCGTCGATCTCATACTTCCAAGTGTCTCACGGATCAAATCAGTCATCATTTTAATCGTTTCCACTCGGAATGTTCTAGTTCCCCGTACATTTTATTCTTCCAGAGAGGACACTCCAGTGCAAAGGGTTAAAAATGTCCGACTCTGAACTTGGGACAATCTACCTATCGCGATAGACTCGTCTATCGCAAGGTCATCCCTTGACACCCAACGTCCATATTCCCACCAAACTTCATTTCTTCAGGTAGGAACGAATTCAGGTGCAAGATCATCAAGTTCGGTTCACCGGAAAACGGACCAAACGATCGTCGTGTACGAAATACCGATTAGCAGAAGAAAAAAACAATCGTTAAGGTGGAAACGCGCAGCCACGTGTCCGGGCAACCCCCACGGGCAGTGGTGAAACGCGCGGCCGCGTGTTGACGACGACACGACGACGCGCCGCAGCGGTGCTCGCGTGCGCTGGCGCATGCGATCGATACCAAACACCGCCGGGGTTTTCGCGTCCCCGCGCGACGTCAGGACAGACGGGCCGAACAGTAACGATAGAGGACGAGGCTGACCGAGACCGGCCGAGGTAGTGCGACGAGCCGCGGGTAGGCAGCAGCCGTCGACGCGAGCACGGCCCCAACCGTCAACCGTCGTTTCGACGTCGTGGACACTTTCTTTACCCCGGGCGGAACACGTCCACCAATCGCGGAAACACAGAGTACATCGGTCGCGAGCCAGCAAAAAAACCCGTTTTTTTTAACCCCCGAAAGGGCTACGGGCGTATCAGGCTGGGGAAGTCTATCTTCGGTGATCGTGAGTCGCGTGCGAAAGTGATAATCTTTGTGGTGTGTATCGTCGTCTCGTTGATTGGAAAGGTCGTGGTACGAGTACACCAGGCCGCGAGGAAAGGAAATTGGAGTAAGTCTTCGAGAATGATATCCTGTAAACCCGTACAATCGGTATTATTATTTCTCGCTCACGATTACACGTATTGGATCGTGATCGATAGTCTTTGATAGAGGAATCCTTCCCATTTAGTTTCCAATTTGTGGAATAGAATTATCTCGAGGAACTACGAAACGGTACCAGTACGATCTCCACCTCGATGTGAACGCGTCTGACCATGTCTGACTATGAACAGTAGAATCTACTTCACCGTTACTTTTCCTGTGCAGGTAACCCTCTGTGATCGTTAAGGGGATAAGTAGATCAGAGGGGTTGAAAAAATTGAGGGATTTTCTATAAGAAAGTAACGGGGAGGTGTCTCGATCGTGTCTGACTAGAGACGAGCCGCAACCCCTTTAGGTCGTAGCGCAGCTGAGCTCGACCGGGCGCGACCCACAACCCTACATTCGCGGTCTGCGGCGTGACCTAACCTCAACTCACTCCACTTTGGGGCCGAGCTTTGTCGCCACCCTCTACCACCCTCCTCGTTCGAAAGATTCGAACAGCAGACTACGACTTTACGCACTCGGTTTTATCGTTTTGATTTCACGCCAGTTAAACTCATCGATCGCATTGTCCGCGGATAGACGCGAGTTTGTGATCCTTGTGCTCGCGATTCGCGTTGATCTTGCATTGCTTTTCCGCGTTAACGCCTCAAGGTAAACGGTGCACCGAGCTGCCATAACTTTCGAATGCTCGGGTCTGACCTTGGCAGAGAGAAGTTCTCCGTATATCACTATCAGTGGTCGACGTCTTTCGGCGGTGGCGTTAATTAACGATCATCGATCGGCCGATTCCGGGGTGGGAACTAAGTTATCGGTCTAACAATCTCTAGATGAAACGAGGTGTCTTTCTTTGGACGTATATGTATAGAAAATTCATCGGTTCAATTTTTCATCGTGACACGGAAACGGTTGTTTGTAGAAGGGAATGACGTAGACGATGCACCTTTATAGAACATTTATTTTCGCTGTATGGCGTCTGCTGGCACTGCAGAAATAGCAGTCTTTAGCATTATTAATAACCGACGGTAAATATAACTTGAACTTGATGAACGTTGTTTCTAAACGGTTTAACTGGCCTGGATAGAAATGTTCGATGGATGGTGAAGAGAGAAATTAGAAATATAACAATTTCTAGTGAGTTTGAGATAGTTTTTACAATTTTTTATTGCTCCGAAGAAGTTTGAAACGGGAATGTTTCGTGTTAAATTAGAACCACCGAAAAGAAATCATGTCCCTTTTACTAATTGGGAGAAAGGAAATTTGCCTATTAACAGCAGAACAGAATGATAAACCTTTTATACATACACTGCTTGCCTGTTTGTATACATTGTTCGAGTAACTCTGAGTTTCACAGTGCAGACCACAAACATAGTTTCCTCGTCTCAAACGGAAAGTAATGTAAACTTCAAAGGACGCTAACGAAACGCTGACTAGCGCACACTAGGGGGACAATACAAGAGAACACGTGCCGTTGCGTCAAAATTGCTTGACTCACTAAAATTAAATTGAATTATCCGCCAGGGCGTATGGTAACGGCGCAGAAATTCAATTTACATCTTACGTGCGGTTACGGGTAATGTTCTATCGTGTACCAAAGTCTCTGGAAACTATAGGCGTGTTCTTCCCCACCGCTCGAGTTCATCACACAGCTCGTTTAATCGTGTAAGTAACAACACATCCGCGTTATTGTCCAGCGACAAGGTGGTCCCGCTGTTTACCTAAATCGAATTTAAACTACAACATCATTCGTGCTTAAAACGTCGTCTAACCATATTTCTACTATAGCCTTAATTGTTCGAACGAGGATGTTCAACTTAAAATGAAATTGTATAATTTTATAGATTTCTTTACTGTTCGAAAGCTTGTCAACTATGATCCACAGGAGAATTTATATTGCATAGAAGTAACATAAATTCATAGACACATGATATTTATTAGTCAATTGATAGGAAACCAATGTTCCTCCGAGACGAGCCAAGGTACTGTAATGGACCCCATAATGGATGAAGTACATAAAGCATACAAAACTATACCCCAGCGCAGTCAATTTAAAATTGGTATGAAATCAGGGTTGGGCACAATTTTATTCGAATAACACACTTAATAAGACATAAACTCTATTAAATTTGATATTAACTGTACTTTTTATCATATTTCACGTAGTGTCGTATACGCTAAAAATGCATAAGTATAATTATCCCTAAGTGTACCTCTAGTGTCCGAAATCGTGCATTAAGTTCATCCAGATTGTTATCAAAAGAAGATATCCATAGTGGTACCGAACCCACCGCAAATGCAATAACCCCAAAGAGACCAGAACAAAGATATCTGTTCTCCAATACATCCGTTTGACCCGGTAGCCACATCGAGGCTCCAACCAGATTTCAATCGATCTGGCTTAACCCCTTCCCTCTGTTTACAGACACTCTCCATAGAGAGCCTTTCGCCTGGAGCGCATCGACTCCGAAACACCGACCAGTCTCCGGGCCACTTCCGTCGTTGCAGGCGTCCCCCAGGCCGGACCACGAGAGGACGACGAATTTCCTCTCGAGAAAAGTCGCGCGAGAGGGCCAGGAGGGTGTATAAGTCGCTGCGGCGTCGGCGGCGGGCATAAACGGTGGTAGCCGGGGGGAGCAGAAGAGCTGGGTCGTGAGGGGTCCGCGTAGCGTAGCGTTTGGGTGTGATGTGGTGGAGCCCCCCGGGGGGCCGCGGGGGCAGGAGGTTCGTGGCAGATCGGTCGTGAGGGCCCCAGGCACGGCTCGGTTGCCCCGCGGCGAGGTCGCCGGAGGGGCGGAGGAGGAGGTAGGATGGTGTGACCTCCGGCGTTATCCCGCCCGACGCGGAGGTGGTGTCGGAGGTGGCGGAGGCGGTGGCGGAGGAGGCGGAGGAGGTGGAGGAAGTGGCGGCGGAGTCGAGCAGCTGCTCCTCGACTCGGAGGAGGAGGAGCCGACGGCGATGTCGAGGCAGCTTCGCGGTGAATGGGACCACGTGAGCCAGCGCGACCTCCGCGACCTTCGGGACCTGCACGACATCAGGGATCTACGGGATCTGAGGGACCTCCGGGACGTCAGGGACGTCAGGGACGTAAGGGACGACAGGGAGAGACACGGTACAGGGCGACACCATCGGGACGAGTACCTGGACTACGATCACCATCCTACCGCTGCGTCCACCTCGGCACTCACCAAAAATCCGGTGAGTCCATCCTATCTATCCGCGTGGTTGTTCGGTTTGTTTGGATGCAAAGATGATTGATAAAGTAGTTACGCGATGCCTGGCAAGGGAGGGTTGGTTTGCCGGAGGTCTTTGAAGAAGTCAGTATGCAGACATTAACGGATTGGTAACGGTATCATTGTGGGAAAGGGTGGGGGGTCTGAGAGGAAAAGGCGAAATTAATTAATTTAGCCACAGCCAGGACATGCCCATCACAGCCACAGGCCACGCTTTTCAGTGGTATCTTTGGCAGCCGATATCGAGGTCTCCGAGAATTTTCAAAAGTTAAGTTTCAGTTGGAGGCAATTACAAGTTCGGAGGCATCCAAGTTACTCGCCCATCGCGGCGTTATCTCTCCGAGTCAAACATCGCGAATGGAAGTGGAACACTTCCTGATGGAAATTTGCATTTATTGAATCTTTCAGCAATACTTTTACGGGATACGAAGGTGCGATACATGTCGCTCGACGTGAAGTATGAAATGCCCGCGCGAAATAATATTCATGCGTGTACGTGATACTTTACGTAAAACTTCCAGGAGAGGTAGCAATCATTTCTGGTGACAAAAGTATTTCATTTTTAATATATCGTCGTCTCGGTATCGCGCAATATTTCCGCGCACTATCGCGAGACTTTCTAGCGATCTTCGATCGCGACAAAATTCCCCCGTATCGTTCCCGATATTGCTGTAATTTATAACAACTCGAAAGTATTATATATCGCTCGCACGATAACTTAATCCCCGGCTGACGACGTTAATTTATTATTGCGAGGGGAAAATTGTTCCTTTTATCCGAACTGGATAATCTCCGAGGAACCGGTTCCCGAATGGAAAGTCGCCTGTAGATCCAAATCTATTCGCCTGACTTTTCCCACTGGTGAAACGCGAGTGTCTTTTGTGTTTTAACACTCTTACACTAGATTGTAATGGCACAAAGTATCCCATAAAATACGGGAAACACTTTCGAATCCTCAACTTTGAGCAAAGTGCATCAAAAGGAACACTGGCTCAAACCAATTAGAGTCAACATAACGTATATGCAGTTACTATTCTAATGAAACAAGAATCTATCTTAGAAAAACAGTTTCTCAATCTATTACCAAGTGAATTCTTCATGGAAGAGTCGTTCGACCAATATACTTCTAGTTGTATTCAAAATTGCACCTCACGTTATCGTAATAACTTCAACAATGTCACCTGACGTCCCGCGAGTACACCTGCACCGCGACGCGGGGCTTAATCTGTTCCAGCTTTTTCTGGCTGAAAGAATTGAATGCCGCGGAACGACCGAGCGAACGCAAGAAAATGAAAGATGCCCTCAGGTTCTGATCAAAGCGAAGCGTGCTCTCGCCCCAGTTGCGCCCGAGTCATCCCCTGATATATCCACGGTATCCAGTGACCGCAGGGCCTTCATTTAGCGCCTCTGCATCTTTCATAGGGGCTAGTTCGTAGAAGCATACCGAGGCCGCAGCATCGTCCCGTGGCCTCTCATTTGCAGTTGCATTCAGGCCTCTGCCTTCTTTCTTTCTCACCGACGCGATTCCACACACACCGTCTACCGTAGGGGTCAGAAGTGCTAATGAGACAGACACGGAGAGACGATGGGGCGAAAAATGGAATCGAGCCTCTTTGGTGGTGCGCGCGGTTCTTTTTTACCGCATCCTCGATGAAAACGGGCGTAACACACACATGTACGAGGGTAAAAAACTGGGCCGTGTGATTCGTTCCTCAAGGTCGATTTTAGCGAATTTTAACAATATTACTGGTATCAGGGGTTGCTGGAGAGTGTTACTACATAAAAGCTACGATATTTCGTAGGAAGAGCAAAACACATCGGTCGCGCAACCATTCGCAAACTTGTCCCGGTCAGCTAGATGACGCAAACAAAAACGTAGCTGGACAGAGCTGATTTATTCATTTACTTTCTATTCGGTATGGTAATCAGTTGACAGCGTGCTCGTTACGCGGTCGCGGGGCGTGCGCGCGCGCGCGCGCGAACGAGTTCTTTTTTTCGCGAGACAGATTATGTATACACACACGTTCGTTCGTTTAGCGCAAACATCGGGGATTACTGACATTTAACGAAATATCCGGTCGTCGAATTTGCATTCAAGGAGTGCGGGCAGCACCGTATTACAACGTCACCGAGGGGCGGGGGGGGGGTTAGGGGTACGGGGCCCGGTTTCATCGGGCACCTTCGCGGTAACAGCTTTTTTTCGAGCTGGCCCAGCACGAGCTTCTTTCAATCGTCCCCACCCCGTTCTTTCACGCGTGTTCCGGTATCAATCACGAGCGCATTTATCACGCGAGACCCTTCACTTATCGAACGATCTGCGTTCGATCCGTCTCCCCCCTGCGCGCACACGCCTTTATAATCGTACACCTATAATCATGCAAATAACCGGGCATGCATTAAAACGCAACTATATAACTATCGGCTCTGTTAATCGCGCGAACTTAATCCGGCGTTTCCTGCCGGCTGGTACAGGTAATTATCGATCGTTTTTCAATGCCAGAACACGTATATATCGCTATCTTCACCGTAGAGTAAACGATCAATTATCGTACCCGATCCACGGTATCTAACTGGAACGATCTGAGTGGACAAATTTATATTAAAGAAAATAGAAGATACTTGGACGAAAGAGATATCCGAGTCAAGTCTGAATACAAAATAATAGCAATACGATACACGTCTCGTTTTGTAGTTAATAACTCTGTTTATACTTGATTCACGGGACGATCGAACGCGATGTGAACGATCTTTCTGACGGTTGGAAACAGATACGTCCTCAAATATGTGTAGTGGATTTTATATCCTAATCCTTGGAAAGCCGGTAAGAAGTGGCTCCTATTTTTACCAACAATATCGCTCTTTCGTTATCTTGATACTCTCCGTTTAATGAAAAGCCGTGTATTACTGGCACGCGATCTACACGAGTTTTTTAGGTCGTAATAAGAGGAACGCTCGCGGTACCTGTCTAACCGTGCCCGTATAAAAGTCTTCAGTAACGATGGATATATGTATAATATACGTGTATATGTATACATGTGTCTGGTATTCAATGTTTACGAGACGGAGATATTAGCGAAAGCCAGGTTACACGCGTCGTCCCCATATTTCGACGTTAGCGATGTTCCGCTTTGCTTTTACATCCGAATTTAGACTTTCACTTTAATCGAATATCCGTCAGGGATACTCGAGACGACGGGATATCCTGGGTTTGTATCTAGGTCAACCGAGGATCGAGTCTTACGGGCACCGGGATTGAAACATCGCCCCGCGAAACTCGATCAATTTCACAGTTCACGCTCTTGGTGTCTCTAGCCTCATCCACCCGGCAAGATTCGTCCCCGGATGGAGTGTTTGTACTACTGACAGCTAATTTTATCGTTTGTACGAACAGTAAATCGTAGAGGTCATGCCTCGCTTTATCATATAAATAATGAATTTTCATTCATGATTATTCGATCGTGCATGAAGTTTGTGGAGTCTCAGGTACAATGTAATCAAGAATATAAGCTATATCCTTTTTACTGATGGAATGAAAAATTGATTAATTCATAGTCTAGTAACTAATCATTTGCACTGAATGAAATCAATGATTATAATTGAGTCGAAAACAGAGGCGTCGTGGAAATAAAGCTGGGATCACCGGGTTCGACAGGGACATGTCGAAAGCGGGTTCCATAAATATGCAAAATTTCATTTGCATTCGTTGCCCCGCGTACCGAGCCGTCCGCGCAAAAGCTCCATACGCGATCACCAGCTCGAGATTCTGGGATCACCGGAACAATCGATTACCCGGTTACATTTACCAGCCGTTCCAGTTTTCCGAGCGTCATTACACGTACTCGTGTATCTCTCGTCGCGAATCCCGGTTGAACAGAATTTCACTTTTCATGATTTTCGATCTATTCGACACCCACCGATCCAATTTCCTTAATTTAAGTGGGCATCGTCGAACAATCGATCCACCGAAAGTGACACGATCAAAACTCGTTATTACAAAAACATCATGAAGACCTTAATTTTCTAAGAAATTATACTACCTAAATGGACATTGCAACGCGAGACATTTCGTTCAACGTGTTTCAAGTTTCAAGTAAAACAAATCACTCAATCGTTTCCGATTCCTCGCGAGAACTTCAATCATCTCGACTACGCGAAGATCGATCATCACGACCCGAATAGTCTCCAAAGTGCGTCACGCGTTAAAAGATTCAGAACCAGGGTCACGTAAATAGCCAACGGTGTTCGCCAAAGAGAGGGGGGCGAGCTACATCGATTTAACTGCATCACATTCGATGCAACCAGGCATGTAGGTGTCCTGTTTATTCTACGTGTATACGTGGATAATAAATATCTGGCGAAAGGAAAAGAAGAAAAAGGTACACGGTCGATCGACGACGACCCGTAGCGCGACTGTCGATCAATGGAGGGTTTAGGAGCCGTACATGTATAGGCGTTCGGTCCCGCGGTGTTCCTCTTCACCTTCAGGGTAGTGGGTTTCTCTCTCCGATGGTTGCACGGTCTCCAGACCCGGTTCCATCGAATATAGGTCAGTGTACAAGCCGGCAGGAGCAAAAGAGCAATCCCCCGGACGGACTTTTAGCCGTGAGCACGGGGCACGATAGTCCGTCGTGGAAGCCCGCACGCGCACGCTTGCAACTACTAACGGCCAAACGGGTTTGCACACGGCGTTCCCTTCCTTTTTTTTTTTTTTCTCCCGTTTCCTTTTTGCCGCGAAAGGATTCCTTTCCTATGCCTGTGTCTCCCCCGTCTCACTCACTTTTACTGTTCGCCAGACTCGAGTCGATTCACTGTCGAAATTATTCTTAATGGACCATCGTTCCGCGATTGTGTATCGAGACTGTACTCGTTGAACCGGTCCTGTCTTTTCACGGCTACGGAATCTGTATAATGCATCCCCGATGCCTTAATGTTTCCCGGCTGTAATTAAATGTCTCCTTTGTTTTG